TTGACAGGAGCCACTGTCGGCATCACGCGTGCCCACTGCAGTCCCCCTTCTCCTCGGCGAGGTGGGAGGTATGGCCGGGAATTGACGCGGCACGAAAGCTGACATCTCAGCCTTAGTTTTTGGCCAGCGTTAATTCAGTGTTGTATATATATACGGTTAAATATTTGTATATATTTGTCGAAGCCTTAGGCTAGGCGTCAACTTTTAGAATTGTATTATGGATCTTGTCTCCGTCTGCTCGTTGACTAACTACCCCAAGCACTGAGTTAGTCCTTGATTCTAGAACGTTGGTGTGAGCACACGTACGATGCGCTGTCACAGCACGGCTGAATCAGATATGTGCACTTTGCTCTTACGTGCATGTACAGTACGCGTGTGTACACATTTCAAGCCTATATTCATCTGTGTGTGTGTGTGTGAGAGAGTACGTGTGGACCATACATACATGGGGAACGGTAGCGTAGCGGTCAGCGCTGCGCTACAAACCGGGCGAACTGAGTTCGATTCCCGCTCACGGCCAACACCCAGTGACGGCTATCTGAACCGACCCTGAGCTTCCCCTAGGTCAACTCTGCTTAAAATAAGTACTTGGTGCGGCGTGTGAAAAAAAAACATCGCCACTGGGGAGACAAAGGCTGCCGGCCGTACTGATGACTACCCACCCCCTCGCGTGCCGTTCCGGCCTTCAAAGGTGCTCGCTAACAACACTTGGCCCAACAGTCTGTTGAGGCTATTGGGGGGATCTTTGTCTTATATGTGTGCATCCGCCCATCCCAAGCTCCACACCCCCCCCCCCCCCCCCACGTCTCCCAATTCACGCGGTGGAACGCGGATGAGAAATCGCACCGTAATAGCAGTAGACGGGGCCGCCTCTGCGCACCACGTGCATTAGAATTGAGCCTTCACGGCTCGCCGAGCTGCTTCGGCTCTAAACAAATAACCCCACGTGCAGCAGGGAATGGGATGGCGAGAGTCAAGGATGGATTTGTAGTCGGGGGAAGGGGGGTGTGGGAGGGAGGAAGGGAGGGGGCGGACGCGCGCGCGATGCGGCGGTTTTAACAATTCATTCAAATGTGCCTCGTTTCCCCCATTTTACATGCAAACACTGCCGCCGGTGTCACGCCGTGAGAAATTTCCACTTAAAACCGACACATTCCCATTGTGCGCGTCTCTCTCTTTTGGAGCTCTCGCGTCCAGCAGCGTGTAACATCGCCGCATCTCAGAGAGCAGAGTCCGGAACACGACAACGCAGAACTACTTCTGAGGCGCCACTCAAATTCCGAATCTATTTACTTATTTATAGTGGAGGAATCCGATGAGCTACAACAATTTGTTTTTAACACGTGTCCAGTGAGGTGATGGCGGTGGCAGTGATGGTGGCGGTGATGTACCTTATCACGTGTCCTGCTACTGAGACGCATTTGTTGCGTGGCAATCAGACCAACAATGTCATCATCATCTTCACTCTTCGAGAGAGTGAATACTGCCATCACAGTATTGGCAACGCACCACTGCCAATGCAGTCTCACAGGAATTTTTTTTTTAAAAGTTAGCAATTTGCATCAGCTGAGTAACGTAACGTGGCATCGTTTCTCTTTGAACAGCTACCGCTGGCTGCCGTGTGATGTGATTTACACCGTGTTTTATACTGTAATAGGTTATCCCTGATTATAACCGTCTGCGATTGGCTGGAATCCATCCTGTGTCGCTCATTCTGATTGAAAACGTATTCGCTGTGTGCATTCATTTGAATGAATGGATGTATGATGTTGAACTTCTTTCGCACCCGACGTAGCCAACCGTACCGTGTACGTCTTATCCGAACCGTGAATATGATGACACTGCATTTTCTTTCGAGGATGTATGCATTTGTTTATAGCTCGAATTTTTTTCTTATACGAATAAAAAAACCACAGTCATCAGAAACATGGTAACTGTACCTAACGTTGATTACCCACAATCCATCAGCTAATAACCCATACCCATCGTCCCTCTGCGGTCAATGAAATCAGAGCCACTTTCTGAGAATTCATCAATGGTTCGTTTCCCTATGGAATGAGCAAAAAATAAATGTCCGGACATGGCACCGTGTCATTTCTACCGCTGAGACATAACCCAACCACCGACGGAGCTGAACACAATCCCAGGGCATGTGCCCCTTTGAGCATCGAGACATTTTGATCTCCCCTCGTAACATAAATAAATTGCGGTGTCTCTAAAAGGAATGCCACTGACTGCGCCGACGGCTTGCAGATCAAGATCTTCCCCGCTCACCTGTGAAACTCTCCGTAAATATTTGACGTGTGAAGTGATTCAACCGCCTCCTTTATTTATACACCGTGGTTTTTTTTGTCCCCTTTCCAATTACATATTCACTCGACAATTAACCCCGGCTTATTTCATGGCTCGGTTCGTTAAGCCTCTCTGGACAGGTATTCCTTCTAACCTTCTCACCCCCCCCCACCCCACACACACACAATCTACAACCCCCCTGTTCTAAACTAAACTATTTTTTTTATTTTATCAAGTAAGGCTCGCTGACCTATAACGCTTTTCTTCAGAAGCGACCTGGCCACAAATGACAGCCACATTAAGTGGCTTATCAAGTGGAAAATGTAAAGCGGCCAAATCCTTTAAAAGCATGTTGATTCCAAATGTGGAGGGGTGAAAAACGGAGGACCCGGAAAACATTTCACACGACCGAGGGGAGAGAGACACGAAAACACCAAATACACAGGCGTCAAGGTCGGGATTGAAGCCACACGACCTCCTGGTTTCCTAGGCGAGGGAGTTAACATCTCGCCACCGCGCTGCCCAAACTCTAAGCCTCCCCTACCCCCCATCAAGACCACCAGCATCCCTCCACCCCTCGTCTCCAGTCAGCTCTTAACTCTCCCACAACGGGAAATGTAAGCCGTTACCAGATCTACGAGGCATGTGCTGTTAGCGAGCACCTATTACGTTCCGGCACGCCGCACGAGGAGGTGGCGTGACCGCTCATTGGTGACACTGAACGAGCGGTGGAAATTCCACGTTACTCTGACAGCAGTGGTTGTTCTCCCTCGTGAGTGGCACGCATTGTATCAACCCATTGTGACCATCGCTATGTCATCATCATCAGCATCATTGTCACGCATCGTCAGCTTTGAAACAAGTCTTCAGATTAGGATGTGTGGCATGCGACAATATTTTATTGCATACAATATTTCAGAAACCCGGGTAAAATATACCCTCGCAGATAGAGGCATCTAAAGTAGTGAAGCAGCAATAAAATATATATTTTTTTTTGCCAACATAAGCATGAATATATTCTTGGTTAAAAATTTGACCTAAAACTTTCGTGACTGCAGGAATTCATATTCTTGGTTCTTTCGGTAAAGTCACGTAGATAGAAAATAAAATGAAATTAATAAAATACATTTAAAATTAAAATATAAATAAAAGCAAAAAACCCACGACGTTTAGATCGCAACACAAGCGGCCTTCATCAGGCGGAGATAATTTAGCTCTTTTCTCTCCGCCTTTTTTGCTTTTATTATTTTTAATTAATTATTTTTGTTTTATTTTTTATCTACGTGACTTTACCGAAAGAACCAAGAATATGAATTCCTGCAGTCACGAAAGTTTTAAGACAAAATACAAGCGTAAACAATGTCGTCATCATCAGCAGCAGCAGATACAACAGCAGCCGCAACAGAGACAGTTTCTGCCTTCGCACTTGGGAGTCTTGATCTATTATTCAGCAACCTCAGGGCGTCTGCACTTGTCACATCGAAGCTTAAGGGAGGAAAGTCGCTGCGAAAGTAGGTCTCCGTACATGTGCATCCGCGCGTACACGTGAGAGTGCTGTGAGTCGGTGTCCTTGCGCGTGCTCGCAAACAGCACTTGCCCCAAAAAGTCTGTTGAGGCTAAACGAGGGGGCTCTTTGTCTTTTTTTTGTCGTGGGAACGGCGGTGCAAAACTCGCGGTTGGTTTGCACATCGCGCTCTGAAACCCGCCCGCCTGGGTTCGATTCCCGCCCGTGGTTAACACCTCTCGGCGAGTGATATCTAATCGGGTCCTGTGCCTGCGTTTTAGGTCGACTGGGCTTTAAATGAGTACCTCGCTTGGTGTAAACATCGGTGCTGCGGAGACAAAGGCGGCCGGGTGTGGTGCTATCCATGCCGTCCTGCTGTTATGCCCTCTGAAATACCTTAATAGGTGCTCGCTGAAAGCACTTGCTGCAACCTCCTGTTCAAGGCGAAAAAAATATAATTTTGTCTTTTAATATATAATATATATGTTTATGGAAACGTATACAAAAACGAACAGTAGGCATCGGTTTTCATTGCGAAGGTAAAACGAGATTGTTTTTTTCGATCATCTTTTCAATTATATTTTAACCGTGCTGCAGTGACGGGTTATGAGATACGCGGCAGTCTGTGGATTCCTTCCGTCGAGCGTCTCAACGTCGCTTCGTGTCAGCGATCATCGCTGGAGAATTACTTCAGAACTACTTCCGAGGTCACTTCAACGGTTCTCTCCTCCACCAAAGATCTCCCGTATAGCCTTAACAGACATGTTGGGGCGAGTGCTGCTAGCGAGCAGCGTCTGTGAAGGCCGGCACGGCACGCGAGGGCATGGGTGGCCAGCGCCACGCCCGACCGCATTTGTCTCCTGAGTGGCGACGCCTTAGACACCGCAGTCGGTACTCATTTTAGGGCTGAGTCGACCTAGGGGAAGCCCAGGACCGGTTCAGACAATCGTCACTGGTGTTGCCCGTGAGCGAGAATCGAACCCCGGTGTCGCCGGTTTCGTAGCTCACCGCGCTAACCGCTGTGCCACCGCTCCCAGCGAAGTGGACACACAACAACGACAACAGCAACCCCCGTACACCACTAAGCGGCGGTGACGTCACCGCAGCGCTCGTGCCAGGCTAGGTGCGCCGCACGCAGCGCGTGCTCCGTCGACCCCGTGTGAAGGCGACGCGGACCCCTTGTCGATGTGCCCCCCACCCCCAGTCTGCCCGGCACGGTGAAGCGGCGGGTGAACGCTCTCAGGAATCTGCAGCTGCGCTACGTGCAGCTCGAGTCGCGCTTCTACCAGGAGGTGCACGGCTTGGAGCGCAAGTACGCATCTCTCTACCAGCCCCACCTGCAGCGGGTACGAACCGGTGTGTTGATTTGTTGAAGACTTGTATGGAACATTCCCTGCCACCACCCCCCCCCCCCCTATTATTTAAATGGGGTGTCTATAAATGGATCGCCGTTTTTTATTTCATTTCTTTCGACATAACACTGCTCCCACCCACCATGGGAATGCGGAATTCCCATTACTGGCGACGAGCGACGAGCGGAGGATGAGCGCGGCATCACGGTGGCTTTGACTTGTTCAGCTCTTGTTTACTCCCACTGTAACCCGACGGCTATGCGCGCGACGCATCCCTCTTACGCGCTGCCCTCAACCGTCGCCACACTTCAGTTTCGTCTCCGACACGTTTACCGTGACCGACAAAAGCGACCAAACTGGGGACAGGAGGAGCGCCAGTGCCAGGCAGCGGAAATGCCACTGGAATTGGGAGAGCCGAATGGAGCGGCTAAGCATAAAAAGAGCCGGCATAATCGGCCTCCTTGACAACAACAACAACAAAAACAAAAAAAACTCTGACATCGCATTGCGTCATTCCTGCAAAAACCCGGACACGACGATCAATTCCTGGGCTATCCGGGTCACACCGGGGCATTGGGCGACAAGGCGATTCCCCCAAGCACGACCCCCCACCCCCCCCACGCAACGCCTCTGGGTAGATTCCCACCCAGCGACGGCCGGCTGCTGCTTCCCCCTCCTACGAGCGGTCATTCAGCTTTAGCGGGGTGGGCATGGGGATTGGGGTCCCATAACGATAATCATCGTGGTTTAATTTCTCCTCTCAATATCTTTTCCGGAACGCTCCTCGACTGGCTTGGAGCAAGGATCGCCGGCATGAGGCACCACCGTAGAGTACAATATACGCATTAGCCACAATAATCCTAGTGTGACAAATAAGAATAAGTGTTACCCTTTCTGGCAATAAAACAGGTGTTAAGATGTTCAAACATTAAAGAGAAGCTTTTTGCAACACCTCTTTTATTGCCAGAAAGGATAAAAACCTGTTCTTATTTTTCATACTTTGATGCTGAGAAAAAAGGTCCCATGACATAATTATCCTATATATTGTGCCCTATATTCCTACGAGAACATGAACAAGCTTAGGACAAAACAATGTGAGTTAGATGTGGCTAGGTGCCAAAATAATTCCAAGAAGAGCAGAAATAAATCACTGCTCATCGTCGTCATCGTCGATCGTGCGGTGCAAGTCGAGGCGACAGAACCAAGGGGGCATTCGAGGCGCCCTGAGAACGATTTTTTAAGGGCGCTTTGTAAATTTAAATTATTATTATTACGACTACCATGATCGATGAGCGTGGGAGGGAAGGGATCGCAGACCAAACGCAGCTTGCGGGGTGAAGGGGGTCGGAGTGGGAGCGGGCGGAGGGGGTGGAGGTGCGGGATGGGACGATGACCACGCATTTGACGGGGGAAGCCAACTGCACGTGTTGAACTTCTTTAGCTCCGTACGTAGCCATCCGTGCTAATCGGAGGTGCTGGGTGAAGGACAATAAACCAAGCACAAAAAGCAATTTGCCCACCTCGGGCCAGCACGGCTGAGGGCCACTCATGAACAGATGGTCAATGTGTTGGTGCGATGCTTGATCACCATTGCCCCCTTACTTTGGCATTCGCAGCATTCGCAATTAGGGGAATGGGCAGCGCGTGGAAGGGTTGTCGACCGCGTGCGGCGCGAGATTAACGAGGGGTGGCGTGAGATCATCCGCGGCGGAGCGAGGGGGTGGGGGTTGGTGGGCACGGTAGGATGGGAAGTTGCTCGAGCACCGGGTGGATCTGCGGCGGCGTGATGCCAACGGGAAGGGGACATTCGCGTTGCGTCATTCGTCCGATTTGGGGAGTCGAACTCAGACCACCGGCTTCGTTGGCGCGGTGTTCTGACCACCGCACCGACGGTCGAACCCTTGATATGACATGTTAATAATAAGCACTGCGTAATACGTTGAAATGTGCATGGGATTATTCGTTTTCTGGACAGATTGTTTGGTGACGCTGCTTTGGCAGTGGTGGTGCACAAATAGCAGGAATCTCGACACATTCGTCAATAACACTGTGGCCTTTCAAGGAAAATATATAACGGACGACGTTTCGGGCAATGGCCCTCATTCGTAGCACGTGCTATGACGCAGGGAGGCGACATCCATCTCACGTGCTACGATGAAGGGCTATTGCCTGAAACGTCACCTATTATTCTCTTCTTTTTTTTTTATTCTGCAGTGCTATCGACTAACCTGTTGCGGTTCTCTTTATTTATTAATACAAATGCTGCATGGCGCTCGCCCGGGAACGCCGGAACGTTCCGCCACTTCGACCGCGAGGTCTCGAGACGGCGGGCGAGTACAGCAACTTAATTACAAATCGCCGCTCGCAGTCATTCACTTTTTCCTACGGCTCAATTCTCTCCACAATCGCGGCGCCTCGCGCCCGGGCGTGGGCGTGCGACCGGCGTCGGTGTGCCGGCCACGAGCGATTTCAGCCCCATATAAAATTCCATCGATTCGGAAAGTTTTTTTTCTTTGTCCAATGCATTTTGGCGGAAACCGCCTCCACCCCCCACCCCCTGCTGGAGCATATCGGAATCTTTATGCAGACTGCAGGAGGAATCCGAAGAGCTGTGAAGCTCTTTGTCACACGTGTCCAGTCGGAGCGGGTCAGCGAGTTACGTAAAGCAGGCTGCTGTTGTTGTCGTCGGCGGCGTCGTCGTCATCGTCGGTCGCTTGTCTTGATCTCGGGAGTCAAACGTCTCAGCCATTGTTGATTCATTGCGTTTCCCGACAGAGGCGAGATATTGTGAGCGGGACGCTGGAGCCCTCAGAGGTGGAAACCGAATGGACTCTCAACGACGAAGAACACGTGAGCGACAAGACGCGTCAAGTTCGATCGCCCGTCTCCCTCGCCCTCTCGACCGCCGTGCCCCCTACCCCTCACCCCATCTCTCCCCCCCCCCCCCCCCCCCCGCTGGCTGCCTCTCAGACGGTTCGTGGAGTGCTTGCAATCGGGAGGGGGGGGGGGGAGGTTAGGAGTTGGATTCCATGGTCGGGAGTCGACTGAACCCGTCATCCCTCTGGGGTTGATAAATTGGTGCGGGATCTCCAGGGTGGTTTGTCTTATGCGGGAGCGTCCCCCTCCACCATGTCCGCACAGCTCTCTTATCTCTCCACGGCTGGGTGAAGGCCTCGGGCCATGCGGTGCGGGCCATGCGGTGCGGGTCATGCGGTGCGGGTCATGCGAGTTCGGTCAGTTGCCCGGTTGGTGATGCTGGGGAGCGTAAACGTGAGAGTAGAGAAGTATGGCTGAACGCTGGATTTGTCTGCACTGTTCCCTCTGCTGCCCACCACCTTACGTTAGCTCCGCAGGAGCCGATAGTCACCTGTGTTGTAATGCATGGTGGCCACCCGTCCGGGCATTATCCAGGGCCAGTTCTGTGTAACCTTCTGAGATACGACGACACTGCCATGCTAATACACACGGGGGGGGTGAATTGGTCACACGCCTCCCGATCTTAATGTGCGTTGTTCTTTGGGTCTTTCGGGAAAGTCACGTAGATAGGTTCAAATGAATGAAAAATAAAATGGAAAAAAAACCACGACGTTTCGATCACAACACAAGCGACCGTCATAATTTGAACCTATCTACGTGACTTTACCGAAAGACCCAAATAATATGAATTCCTGCAGTCACAAAAGCTTTCAGTCAATAATTAATGTGCACTCTTTATTTTACTCGCCTCCTCTCCCTCTCGCATTCGTCATCCTCTTCTCATCACTCCCGGCCTCTCTCCGTCTCTCTCTCTCTCATTCCCGTTATCTCCATTTTACTTCGTCTTTTAAAATGTCCTTCCCTCTCTTCCCCCTCCCTCCTCCTCCTCCTCTCTCCACCGCCCTCCCTCATTTTCTCGGAATCTCCCTCTCACGCCTCACACCCTCCCTGCAGCCCCTCTCCTTCTCAAACTCTCATTACCTCTCGTCATCCCTCATTCCCTCCTTATCACCCCACACTACCCCTCTTCATTCTTTATGTCTCATTCCCTCTCGCCATGCCCCATTCCCTCCTTATCACCCCACACTACCCCTCTTCATTCTTTATGTCTCATTCCCTCTCGCCATCCCTCATTCCCTCCTTATCACCCCACACTTCTCCTCCTCATTCCACTGTCTCATTCCCTCTCGCCATGCCTCATTCCCTCCTTATCTCCCTCCCTCCCTCCTCCTCCCTCTCCTCCGTCCCTGTTGTCCCAATGACATTCCCATCAATACCGCCCGCTCTTGGCCGCTGTGAATGTTAATTGGCGATCTCCACCCGCAGCCCCCCCCCCGCTCGCCCCCATCCTTTGAGCCCAGGCCGGCGGCGATGCCACCCCCCCCACCCCCCTCCCTCGGCCCACGTCCAGGTTGAACGGAGACCGACGATCGTTACCCACGGGACGTCGGCAGGAACACTCGTTCTAGGCGAGAGTCGGCGGGGGCAGCTAATTGTAATTGCGTAATCACTCATGCGCCTAACTGTGTTGCTGGCCTCGCGATTACAACAACAACAACAAGTAAAAGGGGGGAACGTCCATAGAGCGAGAAGACTGCGCGCGCACGGGCCGCATTCGACAAATACAGGCGGAGATTCCTGCACACAGATGTGGTTTTATTTCTGCCCTCTTTCCCATGTCCTATAACATGATTGGTTGGTCAGGAGTCGCGTTGCCTCGTCTACAGGGCCCGATTAAAAATATATTTGCCGCATGGGTAGCAGAGCAGGGAAACCCCCAGCCGCCCCATCTCCACCTGCCTCTGACAAAGATAAGCACGCAGACGCATTCACACATATATACGTACTGACACACAAAGACAAAGATCCCACGTATAGCCTCAACAGACTGTTGGTGCAAGTGCTGTTAGCGAGCACGTATAAAGGCCGGCACGGCACACCAGCGGGTGGGTGGCCAGCACCACGCCCGGTCGCCTTTGTCTCCCCAGTGGCGATGTTTATGCACCGCACCAGGTACTCATTTGAGGCTGAGCCTATCTAATGGAGGCCCAGGACCGGTTCAAATATTCGCTACTGTTATTGGTCATCAGCGGGAATCGAACTCGGGTCGCCGGGTTCGTAGTGTAACGCGCTAACCGCTACACAAGACACACACACAGTCACATACACACAGACATACACACATGCAGGCACACACACACAATCCCCACCCCCTCGTGTGCTGCACGAGTGCGATATGGCAGGGTTAATCTGTGTCGGATGGGGAAATTGGAGGGGGAAATTAGAACGCCCTCATACAACAGTAATGCATAAAAGTAGCAGTGCTTATGTGTTTTGACCCAGTTTATGTAATAACATGTGTGACGGGGGCGGAGGGGACTATCCCCGTGGGGACCTCTGGAGTTTTGACGCCGGACAAAATGTCCCATTTGCCCTCCACTACTGTGAAACTCCCTCCCCGTGCCTGCCCTCCACAAAACGAGCCTCATCCATCACCGAGCTCCACCCACCACTTAGCCCCACCCACCACTTAGCCCCCACCCACCACTTAGCCTCCACCCACCAACCCCACGCACTACTTAGCCCCCACCCACCATTTAGCCCCACCCACTACTTATCCCCACCCACCATCTTGATTTAAAGCTTTCGTGACTGCAGGAAGTCATACTCTTGGGTCTTTTGGTCAAGTGACGTGAATAAACAATGATAATAGATCACGACGTTTCGATGGCAACACGAGCAATCGTCTTCAGGTGAGAGAGCCCACCCACCACTTAGCCTAACCCATCCCTTGGCCCTCACCCATCAATTATCCCCCACACAACACTTAGCTCCACCCACCACTTAGCCCCACCCACCACTTAGCCCAACCCATCACTTGGCCCCTACCCACTAATTTACCCCCACCCACCACTTATCCCCACCCACCACTTAGCCCCACCCACCACTTAACCCCCACCCATCACTTAGCTCCCCCCACCACTTATCCCCACTCACCACTTAACCCCCACCCACCATTTAACTCCATCCACCACTTAACTGCACCCAGCACTTAGCCCCACCCGCAACTTAGCCCCGCCCACCACTTAGCCCCACCCACTATTTAGCCCCACCCACGATTTAGCCCCACCCACCACTTAGCCTCGCCCACCACTTAGCCCCACCCACCACTTATCGCCACTCAACTTAGTCCTAGAAGATCACGTTAGCCAGCGAATGTTGAGGTATCTCGATGGACCCCTCGTGATGCGGCCCGAATCGTACAACATTTGTTTATCGTGCAGTCGTCGGTTAACTGAAGGCCATCGGTACGCTGAGCTTGAGAGCCCGGAGTAGTCACGCGTCGCTGCTCTGGAGTCTCAAATCCCGGTTCTCAGTGGTTGGCGGTGCCGTTCTCTGACTCCTGAGCCTCCTTCCTCACTCTGACCCAGTTCAACTCTCCACCGTGCTGTCCCTCATCTCGATCTGTGCTCCTCTGCCTCGTTCAGTTCATTGGCCTACGGCTCAAAACGTGTGTATAGTTATAACGAATTGTAAATAGATTGAATCTTACCCACATGACTCTGTGTAGAGATAATAATAGATTTTAATGAACGAATTAATGATTTGTCTATGTTGCTATATGCGTATAAATGCATGTAATCGATGACCGCATTAATTGCATGCATGTGTAAATACCTCCAGTGTTTACGCACGAACACACACAAAATTGTGTGCACGTGCCGTGATCATGCGAATCAATTTTAATTCACGAGTCGATGAATGTGTGCGTGCCTTAATAAGCGCGCGTCTAACAATCACCACCACAACCGACCACCACTAAACCTCCGCCACCGCTCCCGCACCCCAACAGGAGGCTACCCAGGGAGGGGAGGGGGAGGAGGAGGAGGAGAAGGAGGCCAACAAGGAGAGCCATGAAGAGCAGAGGGAAGACGTCTTGGGAATCCCCGACTTCTGGCTCACGATCCTGAGAAACTCGGACCTTCTCGCGTACGCAGTTCAGGTAACAGCCGCAACAACCTCAGGATATCCACAGTTGTTGTTGTTTTCTTCCTCCCAGCTCGTCACGCAATTCCGGGGGTCCAAAAATCGCGAGAACCCGTCCCGACGTCACTGGGCCGTATATGGGGGGAGGGGCCTAAAAGGTGGAGAGAGGGGCCCGCTGGAATGATACGGTGATGCCTTCCTGAGCAAACAAGCATCGTCGTGATCATAAGTAAATATTGTAATAATGGTAGACATTTCGCTGCACATGCTGGGAGTTTCCTCAGCTGAAGATTAAGAAGCACGTGGAGCGAAACGTCGGACATCGTGCCGAACAACGCGCGGGTACAGCCCGAAAACCAATTCCAGATCGAACTGGTCCCTGTCATGGGAACGTGGAATTTTCCACCAATAACAGAGGCGAATGGCCTGTAATCTCTCTCCTCCTCCCTCTCTCCCCCACATTAATTAACTTGAGCAAAATCGTAGCGAACTGTAACCAGCGAGTAACAACAGGGGGCACACATTTTTAAATAGAGCATTTAATTGGCAAGGATAACAGACGCGGGTAAATAAAGAAGGGGAATTAATTAGCGTGTGGAACGTGCGAAAAATCAAACGCGGGGAGGACGGTGGGGGGGTGTTGGGTGGGGGGGTGTTGAGTGGGAGGGGGGGGGCGTTCTTGAAATGTCGGTGCATTGGAGAAGAGTCGGTGAGAAATCGCCCTTTTAAGTCAAAACAATGAAAACTCCGACTTCTGCTCGGGAGAGGAAAGCGCGAGGGTCAGTGTTCACTTTGCGAGGGTGTTTTGTACTCCCGTCACATTCCAGCTCGAGTCAACGCCTCGTGCGATATATTCGTCAAATCTTACCTGGTCTGTGGAGATTCATTTCATTGTCGTCTCTTCGAGTCGAGGTGACTAAAGCGGTCAAACGCAAAGTCTGACTTTCCCCTTCTCCCCCCAAACCTCCAATATGACCAAGCACAATCGGTGAACACGAGCCGTCAATCCTCGCATGTGTTGTCAACCTTCTCGCTGCGCCGTCCGTCTCCGATTGCGCTATCAAATTACCCTGGGCCCGCGTCTCCATTGAGTCACCTCGTTAGGCTCAACCTCGTTAGGCTCGACCTCGTCCCAGCCCGCTCACGCTTTGGCCTCTGATGGGCCAGCGGCCGTTGGTCACCGATGATGATTTGTCGCCCATGAACGTACGCCACCGTCGACGACATTTAACGCAGACGCGCGCACAGAAAGCTCCTTCGACGAATACATTGGCGGCACCGAATTTGTCAACGGCACGAACGCTGGCCCCGCGCTGGGTGGCCACCCATCCCTCGATGCCGGTGACCCTGAGGGCAGGTGATGGAGAGATCCCTCCTGTGAGCTCCAGTAAAAAGCAAGAGCGATCCGGGCCGCCAAAGTTTCGGGGTGTTATTTATTTTAGATCATCAACACATGGCAGCGCCACGCTTGGGAAGTGGCACCCTCGCGACAGTCTCCGCGTGATCCACCAACTCTATCCCTCCAAAGCAACCCCGGGCAAAAATTCAAAACGAGCGGTGGGGGGGGGGGGGGGGGGGTTCGCTTTGGGCCCCGCTCCTGCGTGCACGCGTGCATCGCTCGCGGTGCGAACTCCACCGAGTTCATAGGGCCGAGGCGGTTACTGAGATTGCGGCGGAGCTCATTCGATTAACTTAATGGAGAAAATCAAGACTTTACGATGTTTTTAATTGACCGTGGGTTTTTTTTTTCTCCTCCTAAGCCTGCCACATTGTGTGTGTGTGTGTACGTGCGTGCTCGTGCATGTGTTGATGTGTGTGTTTCATTTCGTTGTCTTTGTGTGTGTGTGTTGAGTGTGTGCGTGTTCGGGTTATGGGGAGCGGTCGTGTAGCGGTTAGCGCGCTGCGCTACGAATCCGGTCACCCGGGTTCAATTGCCGCTCACGGGCAACAACAGTGACGATTATCTGAACCGGTGCTGGGGCTCCCCTAGGTCGACTCAGCCTCAAATGAGTACCTCGTGTGGTGTGTAAAGCTCGCCACTCGGGAGACAAGGGCGGTCGGGCGTGACGCTGGCCACCCACCTCGTTGTGTGCCGTGCCGGCCTTCATAGGTGCTTGCTAACAGCACTTGCCCCAACAGTCTGTGTGCGCTATACCGTGGATCTTTGTCTGTGTTCACTCAATTCAACAATCCCATTTTCACACCTCCCAGCGAATTTCCTCGGCGTTACCCTCAGAGCATCACTTTCATCCCATTGTACGTTTGCTTCAGATTTACATCGTTTCATCTCCACGTCCATAATTACATATGCTCACACACACACACGTGGCCTCCTCGTGCATTATACATGAGCTCGGTTAACTTTGAAGATTAATCTCCACGAACAGGATATAGATGAAGAAAAAACCCTGAACATTTCCCACATCAATAGCGGCAGCAACAGGGCTTAGGGAAGGGAGGGAGGTGGAGGAATGTCATTCCATTGTTATTATTTCCTGATAACTGTTTTAAGTTGTTTTTCTTCAAAAGGGCAAGAGAGAGAGACGCTGTGTGCCAGATTTCACAGTGCGAGCTCCCGTCAAGCAAACATTTAAACATTTAAACGGCACGAACAAAGGGTAGCAAAAGATCCCCCGCCTCGTCGCGAGACAGCATGCAAGCACGCACGCACGCTTTATCGATCGCGCAATTTCCTTTGTGGAGCTCACGTCTCTCTCTCTCTCGTCTCACCCATCGAGATTGTTCCCTTGGGCGCTCGGGTCCTTTGCCTTAGCAACATTAGCAGTCCCAACAGCAGTAGCAGCAACAACAGCAGCAATAGCCACAGCGGCAGCCTGCCTCTGCGATAGCCGGTAACCCCACGGGCTGTACCCGCTGCCTGTATCTGGCGAAGGCTGCGGTGTAACTGTGCTCTTTTGAGTTGTATATTTTGTAGCCGTAGTCTTGTTAGAGTGTTGGCGATAGGGGGGGGGGGGGCGTGGAGTTTTAGTCGAGTCTTGGTCTGCTGATTTCGCTCCGCTGCCTTGCTCAGTCTGCTCGATTTAAAGCGGTCAAGTTTTCAGTCGACTGCTGTTGACAACGCCGTGGTCTTAAATAGAACAACAGCAACAACAACAAAAGTTTTCTATTGGGCGACGTCCCACGGGCCATAGTCCTTCGTCGCAGCACGTGGGGAGGCCAGGGAGGTAGCCTCTCTCTCTCTGCGCTGTGAAGAATGGCGATTGTCCAAAATGTATCCGATTTATATACGTTTTATTTCTAAGACCGCAGTGTTACTGACGAATGCGTTGAGTGTCGTTGTTGTTGTTATTTGTGCAGCAGCATCACCAACATAATTTGTTCCATAATACAGGCTCTTTGGGGTTAGATCGCGTAAAAATATAAATGTGTCGTTAAAACCGCCACCACCCGACACAGCCAATTAGTAAGGTTTGTCACGTAAACAGAACGTGCCAATGCGTTACTAGTACAGCACACCGGTGTGTTGGAGAGCAAATCCGCAGCATTTCCAATCTCGAGTACGACGTTTCGCCAGTAATTCCAACCTATGTGTTTTAAACTCACAATCTGTTCCCACTACCATCAGCTCAGGGCCCGTCAAGTGAGCACACGTGTCCTTCCACGGTGCACTCACGGCCTCGAGCAACGGGCACTGCGTTGACTCGCGCGAGGTGGTGACTCCCTGCTTCACCTCCCCCCCCCCAATTCCACAGGAGCACGACGAGCCCATCCTCAAGCACCTCCTCGACATCACCGTCTCGCTGTCCGAGGACGAGGTCCCTCCCGTGAGGCTCGCACGGCAACAGTCGGAGCCGGAGCGCGTGACAGTCCGGTGCACGCGCGCATCACGCACATCACGGCACGCACAGCAACAACAACAAACAACAACACAGGCCGCCATTCGCCACCTGAGTGGCGGTGGTGTCACCGCGGCGTCTGTGCCGGGTCAGGTGCAGTTCGAGGCCACGTGAAGTGTCGAAGGCTCGCTGCTGGCAGGAGGTCACTGGACAGATACCCAGGTGCCATGGGTTGACCGACTGAGATGACTGGCAGACGCGGCAGTTGTGCCCGCTATTGTGCTAACTATGCTGCACAATTAGCCGCCTGGTGCTCCGCTCGTTGTTGTGAGCGTCGCTCCTCTGCCCCCCGTTGTTGCCGGAGGGCGGCTACCTCCCAACTGCCCAGTAGCAGCGTCCTTCACGAACCTCCTCCAGCACGCACAACTCGTATATCTGTCGATAACACATTCCTGCGGAGGGAGCAGGTAGGAACGTTGGGTTGCTCGGTCAATGGCCAGGACCAATGGCGGCACCACGTGGTGTATTCCGCAAATATCCCCGACCGTGAGGGCGGGCACAAGCCGGCATGAGTAGGTTAAACGTTGAGTTTTATAAGGGCACCACGGGGTGACCAGCCCCTCCCCACCCAGCCCCTCCCCACCCTCCCCACCTAGCCCCTCCCCACCCAGCCCCACCCTCCCCACCAAGCCCCACCCTCCCCTCCCCACCCTCCCCTCTCCACCCTCTCCACCCAGCCCCACCCCTCCCATTTTTGGATGCACGACGGACGGACACAATAATCCGCTGTGGGCTGGTGGTGTAACCAGGAGGTACCTACCAGTACAACTTAGCCTGCTCGTGTGACTGACAGCGCGACGCCACTGCCACTCGCGTTACCGGTAACGATGACAGTCGGGGCAGCGACCAAATCGCCCGCAATGCGGCCCCGATCTCGCTGCCCATCTCGGAAGCTAAGCAGGGGTTCGAGGCCTGGCTAGTGCCTGGACGCATCGATCGCGTACGCACGAACAGGCTTGCCGTAGGCTGCTCCGGCGCTGTGCATGGCGGGGCAGCGGAGAGCAGTGAAGCAGCACCAACGGCTGTGCTGCTCGGCTATGCTCCTTTGCCGTCATCGACCCGTACCGACCAGAGTGGTGAAGTATGGTCGTAAGGACATCTACAGCATGGGGGGGGGGGAGGCCTTCATCCGGTATACACGCATCTACGCCGTGTGCCCTCGTTTTAGTGATGGGGCAAATGCCCCCCCCCCACCACCCTCTCCGTTTATATTGATTATGCAATCGCACTGGAATATTGTTTGAAGCTAAATTGTCATGAACTCCAGTGGGAAAGAGAGAGACAAAGAACTAAACGATCAGATTAAACGATGTTGTGCAGCCTGCATGGTGACGATATTGGAGCTGGCGACGGGGCTTAATCAGATGTAGGAGCTATTCCTATACACAGACAAAGATCCCCCGTATAGCCTTAGCAGACTGTCGGGGCAAGGGCTGTTAGCGAGTAGCACCTATGAAGGACGGAACCGCACACGAGGGGATGGGTGGCCAGCACCGCGCCCGACCGCCTTTGTCTCCCCCAGTGGCGATGTTTACAAACCGCATGACGGGTCCAGATCATCCATCACTGGTGACGGCCGTGAGCGGAATTCGAACTCGGATTTCCCCAGCGCGCTAACCGCCACGCGACCGCTCCCCGCTCAAACGCCTACACACACACTCACGTAGCGCACGCACATGCACAAGCGCAATATAACATAATAGCTTACATCCCATTTCCAATCTGCTGCTCGATGAAGGCCCTCCCCAAGCTGCGTCAGTCCTGGGGCTTGTTGAGCATCCTTCGCCGCTTGGGTCATTGCGTGTTGGTGCAGGGCGGTGACCCAGGACAGCTTCGGGTGTCACTCGCCGCCGTGGCCGGGAATCGATCTGACTCGGGCCACCAGGCACATGGCACGTTGTGCCAATCGCACCCACCCACCCACTCACCCACCACCACCACCAATACGTGGTCACGGGAGAGGTTACTCCAAAAGTCACGCCGCCCGAACGTTATCCCCGGAGGCGACAGCGTGTCCAGGGAGGTGCAAAGGTTTGGGGACGCGAGTCCGCAACGTTCCATCTCGACTTGGCCACCCGGTTCCACCGATGATGCTCTTCCGCCACCCGTGAACAAGGTTAGCAAAACATATATATACATTTTTACAGAGTCTTGGAAGAAAAGAAAAAAACTCTTGCGGCCGTTTCTGCCACCAGGCTAACAAGGCCGCGCGCCTTCGTTCCGCGATGATGTCCGACGTTTCGTACACACGCGCCGGGAGCTTCTTTCCTCGAGCCGGGGGCCGAACGCATTCTCCCACGCCCATCGAATTCCCCCTCCCCCCCCCCCGAAGAAGCAGCTCCACGGTAGCGGCGCGTGGGTCCGAAACGTCGGACGTCGTTTTCGAGGAGACCAAACACGGGTCGGGTGGAGCCCGCATGCAGCGCGGCCGCGGAAAGTCCTCGCAGCAAACACCGCCGACCCACCACGCCGATGAATCGCGATCACACGGGGGGGGGGGGCACGTGCCCCCCCGCGGCTCATTCCTCGGTCCAAAGAGAAGGAAGACGTCGAGGGGCGACGGGCGCGGGAAGGCGGAGTGGGGGGTGGGTGGCGGGGGATGAGATGGGGGGACCAGCGCGTGACGGATGTGGCGGTGTTGTCGATCCCAGCTGTGCAATCGTCGCAGGCGCGGAGTGTTTGTGTGTGTGGGGGGTGGGGCGACTGATTGTTGCGAGCTGCTCGTCAGCACTTGTCCCCGTGTCGTTGCTCGCGAGCTGCGTAGCGAGCGCCACACGGCGCTCGTCGGCAGCGTGAGAGAGGGCTACAAGTGGGGGGGGGGGGGGGGCTTAATCCAGCAGCGGATAGATCATGGCTGATGATGATGACGACGATCGGCGGCGCGCGTCTGTAACCCGGCGGCACTGTGGAGGCGGGGTTTGGTGGATCAACACGTGGTTTTTCTTTGTTTCTTCCGAGGTGCCCATACACCATTGGCTCGCCAGGCGAAGGGGAAAGGGGTGGTACGGCAAAGTGTGGACTCGTATCATCGGTACCTCCCGTATGGGATAGAGTATTGCCCCCTCGCACGCCCGAGTTCTCTCCGACTGCTCCAGTTTTCCTCCGACCTGTGTATATATACTTGCATTAATTGGTTGAAAACATTATTCATGTCGAGGACTGCAGAGCTTGGGCAATTGTTGCTCATGCCAGCTCACCCGTCTGGCTGCTGTTGCCTTCCACCTCGTGGCTGCAGATCCACGGCGATTGTGTGATGCGGTTTTGCACGAACACGACGCTATGTAAAACTAAACATTATTATTATTATTAGTGGTATTATCATGCATATACTTTATATATGCAAACACATGCACACCGTTAGCTCGTGTGGCAGGTGTTGGCTGGATTGTTCTTTCGCAGGGTGGGTGAGAGGTGGCAGTGGCTTGAGGGGGGGGGGAGGTGTGGGTTGTCGTCATCCAGCAGTGGATAGGGCACGCACGCACACACACTGGCGTGCGCGTGCCATATCACAAATCCGGAAATCCGGGAGCCCATCTGTTGGCACGTCAGAGGTTCGGACGCTCCTGCAGGGTCATTGCAGTCCGTTGACAATTAATTTCACGCACGGCTAACTGATCCCATGTAGATCACATTTCATTAAATAGACCTCAGCGTCGCTGGCATCCGTCCAGGGTACAGTGGCCCACTTTTGCGTGTGGTGTGGTGCATACATATCCACATTGTATTGTGTGTTCGCGCGCTGTGCTACGACCCGGGTTCGATTCCCGCTCACGGTCAACACCGGTGACGATTATCTAAACCGGTCCTGGGCCTCCCCTAGGTCGACTCGGCCTCAATTGAGTACCTGGTGCGGTGTGTAAACATCGCCACTGGGGAGACAAAGGCGCGCGGGCGTGGCGCCGGCCTTCATAGGTGCTCGCTAACAGCACTTGCACCAAGAGTCTGTGAAGGCTGTAAGGGGGATCTTTGTCCTTTGTATTTGACCATACTTCACCATGCTTGTGAGTGCGTGTTGGTGTGCCCACTACGACGCACGGGTCCACGCGGCGTTGGAATTTCCCCAAGTCGGCAGGGCATTATCCAAATGGTGCTGTGCACGTTGCGCGCGTGTGTGTGTGTGTGCGTGCGCGCGGGGAGACAAAGGCACCCGGGAATTATTCTAGCCACACCAGGGTCGCGTGCCACGTCGGTCTTGCTAGGTGCTCGCAAACAGTGCGTGACCCCAACAGTCTACAGGTGTACGCGGGGGCGTTGACGTGCGTGGGCAGCGGTGGCGTAGTGGTTAGCGCACTGCGCTACGGATCCGCGACCCGAGTTCAATTCCCGCTCAGTTTCCTGCCATAGATTAAACAATAATCGTCGTAATAATCCATACAATGTAACCGGTATTGGCCAAACATCCTGATGCTGAAAACAATTTTAGCGAATTACTCAATTGGGATTGCACACCGGCATCGACATCACCACCCCAACCCCCCCCCCGCAACTGCCAACATTTTTGGCAGGCACCTGGGTAAACACGCGTCATAATAGATAATTAAAAAGAAACAATTACAGTCGACTTTCGATAATCTGGGATAACGTTTTGGGGGAGGGGAAGGGAAGGGGTGACCCAGATGAAACGAGAACAGCGGATAACTAACGCACCGCCTGTAAATTATACGGTCACCACCACCGACCCGACGACCCTCGACAAGTGAGGAGCGGCCGAACAATAAAAACTTCCCGCTTCGGGCGTGTAAAAACAGCAGCACAAACATTATCTCAACTTAGTTTTTTTTCGCGGACCGGGTAAATCACCCAACGCATTACCGATTATTGAACTGTTACAATCAGATGTTGTTATTATTTATACTGGAGGAATCCCATGAGCTATAAAGCTCTTTTTTTTCCACAGATGGAGCGGTGGGCATTGTTGCTCTCTTCGC